TGTCTCGTGTTCCTGAGGACAGAGATCTGGTTCTTGATCCTGTCTCCTGTTCCTGAGGACAGAGATCTGGTTTATGATCCTGTCTCGTGTTCCTGAGGACAGAGATCTGGTTTAGGATCCTGTCTCGTGTTCCTGGGGACCTCTGATCCCGTCTCTTGTTTGTCTGCAGGTGGACGATCAGTCGGTGTTCGTCACGTCCTTCGTGCTCATTGCTCTACACCACGTCACGAGCATCAGGGACCCAGTCCTGCAGCTCAGAGTGAGACAGTCCCCAGTTTGTCTCTGAGTCCCTGAATGTCTCAGAGGTCCAGATCAGCAGAAGTCCTCAGATTACTCTGCAGCTAAACCTCCTGTCTCTCAGTCCCAGGACGTCAGCAAGAAGTCAGCAGCAAACTACATTTCCCAGCATGCCCTGACCGTGAGGAGTGTGTACGTGCGTGCGGTGGCGACCTACGCTCTGACGCTTCATGACCCCAACAGCATGGAGGTCACTGAGCTGCTCAACAGCCTGGAGGGGCTCGCCCGACAGAAAGGTGTTATTAACTCTTTATAAAGCAATACGGTCAGGAATTCAAACTTTTTTTTTTTTCAAAACGTTGAGTTAAAGATTAAAAAAAGTGTAGGTGTGTACATACTGTGTCCTCTGAGCGCACACAAACATGAGTGTGCACGTGTCCAGGTCAGCCGGTGGAGCTCAGGTACTGGCAGGAGTCCAACGTGAGAGCTGATTGGCTGAAGCCGGATAAAAGCAGCGGTTTGACGGTGGAGACGACAGCTTACGTCCTGCTCTCTGTGCTGCTGAAGGTGCTGCTGAGTCATGGTTCAGATGAAAGAAATACTCTGTTTCTGTCTTTAGACATGATGATTTATAGATTTTTATTTTTGTTATAGGGGAGGATTCAGTACGCCAACCCCATCCTGACCTGGCTGTCTCAGGATCAGCACTACGGTGAAGGTTTTTACTCCATGAAGGTACAAAGATCTGACCCTGAAACAGACAGGATTCCTTTCAACACTAAACATCACAGAACATGTTTTAGTGACAGACGGTGTGTAAGTGGTTTAAACATAAATACATCTCAAATTCAATCAGAAATATTTTAAAATTCAACTTTTTAAAACAGACATTGATAGATGTTAACTCAACATTACTGTAGATGCTGACTCAGCATTAGTGTAAATTCTAACTCATCATTAATGTAGATACTCAGCATTAGTGTAGATACTGACTCGACATTAGTGCATTTGCTGACTCATCATTAGTGTAGATACTGACTCGGCATTAGTGTATTTGCCGAATAAGCATTAGTGTAGATGCTGACTCAGCATTACTGTAGAAACGGACTCTGCATTGGTGTATTTACTGAGCCAGCCTCAGTGTAGATGATGACTCAGCATTAGTGTAAGTTCTAGCTCAGTGTTATTATAGATGCTGACTCAGCATTAGTGAATGTGCTGACCCGGCATTACTATATTTGCTGACTTGGCATTAAATTCAACTTTTTAAAACAAGAGGTTACTGATAGATGTTAAATCAGCATTAGTGTAAATTCTAACTCAGCATTACTATAGATACTGACTGCATTAGTGTATTTGCTGACTCTGCATTACTATAGATGCTCACTCAGCATTAGTGTAGATGCTGACTCAGCTTTAGTGTACATGTTAACTCAGCATTAGTGTAGAATACACTGATGCCGAGTTTGCATCTATAGTAACACTGAGTTAGAATTTACACTAAAGCTGAGTCATCAACTGAAATTTGATTGAGTCAGCATCTACAGTAGATGCTGACTCAGCTTTAGCATACATGTTAACTCAACATTAGTGTAGACATCTCAGCTTTACTAAAGATGCTGACTCAGCATTCACACAGATATAGCTGCACTAACAGTACAGAAAGTTTATTTTTGTTATTTTTGATATGGACACTACAGTGTTTGTGAATTTGTGTCAAACTCATTTTCTTCGCACTTTAAAAACTGGACAGAATGTCCTGGAAGTTATCCTCCAGAGTTGGACAGGTACAGATCTGTTTCCTCTGGTCTCCATTGTGATGTCTCTCAGGACACAGTTTTGACTCTGGAGGCGTTGACGGAGTACAAAAAGATCACCCCCCGAGCCGTCCTCAATCAGGACATCAGCATCCGCTACAGCAAGAAAGGAACTTTGGGACAGGTCCAGCTGAGCCAGACTCGACCGGTGGCCACGCCCATCCAGGTGAGACACAAGCAGGACACAAGTAGTCTGGAGTCCAGTCCGACAAATTCCACTCTGCTGTAGTTTTTAACCAGTCTCTCTGTTTTTCCTTTGAAGATCTTGAAAAATGATGACATCATCCTGTCCACGGGTTATGGAAAAGGCGTGTCCAGTGTGAAGGTGGGTGTGGTCTGTGGGACCTCAGCAGTCTCTCAGGTTACCCACTAACCGTCCCGTCTGTGTGTCCAGCTGAAGACGGTGTACTATCAGACCACAGCGTCGGTGCAGTCCAGGTGTAACTTTGATCTAACCATCGAGGTGGTCGGACCAGGAGTTTCTGACAGTTTGTATCTTCACCAGATCTGAACATTCTGTTGTTTCTGGTAAAGGTTTTCTTTCTGGCACAGTTTCAGTCTCCCTTGTCCTCCTCAGACCCCAGTATGCGAGCTCCTCACCTGACTGCCTGCATCAAGTAAGATATAAGAATCTGAGTGACTCACCTCAGATCCTGTTGAGGTCCTGGTCTGTAGTGGACTTGTGTTTCAGGTACAAACCTCCTCCCAACGAAGTTTCCACGGAGTCCGCTCTGACCATGATGAACATCCAGCTGCCCACAGGTTTGGAGCCTCAGATGGAGGACCTGAGACCGGTGAGCGGCTTTATAAACGGACATTCTTAGGTGAGATGACCTGAAACCTGATTGGTCCTGACAGACTGTTGTCTTGATGTCATCCTACAGTTCAGAGACGGCGATGAGCCGGTCATCTCTCACTACGAGCTTAAGGGAAGCACTGTGATCATCCAGATGGATTCGGTGAGTGGCTAAGAACCAGAGCCTTCAGAACCAGGTCTCTGTATAATGACTTCCATTGTTAAATTTGAACTTTGTTTCTTTGTGTGAAGGTTCCTGTATGAAGTATTTGTGATTAAAGACATTTTTTCGACCGTGTCCCTCGGGGACTCCTGTGGAGGGTACTCTGGGAGTATGGGGTACCAGGCCCAGTGATATGGGCTGTTAGGTCCCTCTATGACCGGTGCCAGAACTTGGTCCACATTGCCGGTAGTAAGTCGGACTCGTTTCCGGTGAGAGTTGGACTCCGCCAAGGTTGCTCTTTGTCACCGATTCTGTTCATAACTTTTATGGACAGAATTTCTAGGAGCAGCCGAGGTGTTGAGGGGATCCTTTTTGGTGACCTTAGGATCACATCTCTGCTTTTTGTGGATGATGTGGTCCTGTTGGCTTCATCAGATCCTGATCTACAGCTCTCACTGGAGAGGTTCACAGTGGAAGAGGCCAGGATGAGGATCAGTGCCTCCAAATCCCAGACCATGGTCTTGAGCATGAAAAGGGTAGGGTGCCTTCTCCAGGTCGGGGAGGAGGTCCTGCTCCAAGTGGAGGAGTTTAAGTATCTCGGGGTCTTGTTCATGAACGAGGGAAGAATGGAGCAGGAGATCAACAGGTGGATTGGTGCTGTGTCTGCAGTGATGTGGGCGTTGTACCGGTCTGTCGTGGTGAAGAGAGAGCTGAGCCAGAAGGTGAAGCTCTCAGTTTACCAGTCGGTCTACGTTCCTACCCTCATCTATGGTCAGGAGCTTTGGGTAGTGACTGAAAGAAGAAGATCACAGATACAAGCAGCTGAAATGAGTTTCCTCTGCAGGGTGTCTGGGCTCTCCCTTAGAGATAGGCTGAGAAGCTCAGTCATCCAGGAGGGACTCAGAGTAGAGCCACTGCTCCTCCACGTCCAGAGGAACCAGTTGAGGTGGTTCATCTGGTTAGGATGCCTCCTGGACTCCTCCCTGGTGAGGTGTTCTGGACACGTCCCACTGGGAGGAGACCCAGAGGAAGACCCAGGACATGTTGGAGGGACTATGTTTCTCAGCTGGCCTGGGAACACCTTGGGATCCCCCCAGAGGAGCTGGTCCAAGTGTCTGGAGAGAGGGAAGTCTGGGTCTCTGCTGAGGCTGCTGCCCCCGAGATCTGACCCTGGATCAGAGGAAGAAAATGGAACAGACATTTTTAATCACTATAAACCAAACCTGATCCCTTCAATCTCTCTGACTTCCTGTTTGATCTTCAGGTTCCATCAGACATCTACCTGTGTGTCGGCTTCCGGGTCAGAACCAGGTTCAAGGTGATCGGAGCCGCAGAGTCCGTGTTAACCGTTAAAGAGCTAGGTGACAGAGGTGAGATCCAGAACCTGCAGAGCATGCTGGGATTTGTAGTCTGTAATCTGTTAAAAACATTTCTTTTATCAAGTCACATTTTTGTTGTTAGCTAAACATTTTTTTTAATTCTGTAATTTTGCAGTTCTGCTTAAAATGTCTTACCTGGTCGTCCATCATTGAACAGAGTGTTTCAGTTCTGCAGCTGCTTCAAAGAGACTTTGTTTGTCTTGCAGGTAACCTGTGCATCAAGCAGTTCTCTGACGAGCAGCAGAAGCTACAGCGCCTCTGTCTGGGCGAACAGTGTCAGTGCATGACAGGTACCTTCTGCTTCTGCCTCCTGAAAGCTTCAACACATGAGCCCGGTTCTGTAACGTGTTTATGAGCCTGGTTCTGTAACGTGTTTATGAGCCCGGTTCTGTAACATGTTTATGAGCCTGGTTCTGTAACGTGTTTATGAGCCCGGTTCTGTAACATGTTTATGAGCCTGGTTCTGTAACGTGTGTATGGACCTGGTTCTGTAAAGTGTTTATGAGCCTGGTTCTGTAACGTGTTTATGAGCCTGGTTCTGTAACGTGTTTATGAGCCTGGTTCTGTAACG